TTTGTTTTGGTTTCACCTTGTTCCGATATGACATAATAAGGGATTTGCAGGTCGGCAAGTTAATCATGCAGGCGTCTGCGCAGAGCAACCTGAAGCGCATGACTTTGGAACTGGGTGGCAAAAGTCCAAACATCATCTTCGCGGACGCGGATCGTAAGTTGTCTCAGATATCGGCTACTTGACATCGAACTTGGTTTCGATCACGATCAGCTTTTTCAGTGGATATTGCGGTGGCGCAAGCCCATGATGGTGTATTTTTCAACCAGGGCCAGGTTTGTTGTGCTGGCAGCCGCGTGTTCGTCGAAAGCAAAGTGTATGACTCGTTCGTCGAGCGATCGATCGAAAAAGCCAAGAAACGTGTCGTCGGGGACCCGTTCGATGCTAAAGTCGACCAAGGACCTCAAGTGAGTGCCAGCACTTCGAGTTGGTCCTCATATTCACCCTTTTGTACAGATAGACAAAACGCAGATGAACGCGATAATGAACTACATCGAGAAAGGAAAGAGCGAAGGTGCTAAAATGGTCACTGGCGGACACCGATTCGGTGACAAGGGGTACTATGTGGAACCGACTATTTTTACGGATGTCACCGACCACATGGTCATCGCCCAAGAAGAGGTACTCATTTTGATTCAAAACTGTCAGGAAATTCAGCTTACAGACACGTTCTTCGTAGATATTTGGACCGGTGATGTCAATCATGCGTTTCAGTGATACCAAAGACTTGGTCGAGAAAGCGAATAATACCATCTATGGCCTAGCTGCCGCCGTTTGTACGAAGGATATCGAGAAGGCACTTTGGGTGTCAAACAACATTCGCGCCGGAACCGTATGGTTAGTTGGTTTCGTTTCTGTGACTCTTTCGTTCTTTAACCGCTTTTTCGGTTCAGAGGGTCTACTGCATGATCCTAAAGTTTATCAATATTCTCTTGAATTAAGAATTTCATCGATGGCTACCAATCATTCTGGTTGTTCAGTCAAAATATTTTTATTCCACAAAAGATTCACTTTGGCAAATCGTCACCTACTGCGACGAAAATGATCGAACCTTTGTGGCTACAGTAATCCAGGGATTTACCATGACAGCAATATGGAAATCTTCAGCGTTGCCTAGCAGTTAAGGTTATTCAAACGTTTACTCTCCAGTACCAAATCTCTGAAGTTCTTTTGCATCTGAGAACATACCCTTCTGCTCTTTGGATATTATCCTCATCTTTATAGGTATATCTCCGTCAGTACATTTTCAGTAATCAGTATATGCACTTTACACTAGAGATGATGATCTGAATCAGTTGCTTTGGGCATAGTGCTTCGATATGCAATAAACCTTGCATCTAAGCCATTGATTCAGCATATTTCCTACGTAATAAAATGTGACGCAGCATCAATGTCAATTTGCGAAGTCAACTTTTTGCAGTATATAAATAAGACAAAATAATACATACATACATATACAAGTAGTATATTATTTGTGTAGTCCATATATGGTACTACGTTCTGTTTTTCACATTATGCCAGTAGGTAGAGCATTTATAATACGTTTAGAAGTTAGTATGGATCCAACTACAAGACCAGAAACCCAAAAGGCCTTAGTGCACCTCAAGGTAAAAAAGTCCTCTGAGTGGATCGATTTTTTCAAGAGCTAATTAAATGTGGAGGAGCAGAAGTAGAACATCTCTGTAGATGAAATCACACAAGCCCCAAAACGCTTGAGAAGTGGAAAGGCTGCTGGAATCGATGAAATCCGCTCTGAAATGCTTAAAGCATTAGGCGAACAAGGCATGTTCCGATTTATACGTGTCTGTCAAACTGCTGTGGCTACGGGGAAAACACCAGATATATGTATCACTGTACAGCAGGTGTGCCAGTAGACCCATTTGATCTTAATGCCGCTGAAGTTCCAGAGAAGCTAAGATGGACTTTTCAAATTCACCTCTGGCTGACTGTGATATGACACTATTTTTTGCAGTTCTTTAATTTTTCAGTGATGGTTAAGGTCTAGTCTAGAAACTGTGAGGAGTCTCTGAAGATATAACGAACGACAAAAAAAATGTGGAGGAGACTGACTCGATTAGCAGACCCCTGTTAAAGGGAACATGCTGGGAAAAGAAGAAGATTAAGGTCTAGTGGATCTAAACGTTTAGTAACCAGGCGCTAAGTGATTATCTCTACCGCTCATGCTAGTAGCCGTAACATTTTGAAAAAACAATTATAGTGTTTTGCTCTTTTGGGTAGAAAAGTGAGTGTCACTTTCAACAATCTGGTATAAATCCTACTTTTTCTTTTGAAGACACTGCGGTACTGCAGAATCTGTTGTTTCTGAAGTTCTTCACACATTACTTTTTAGGGTCAACTGCTATAGCGTTTTCGATTCAGCAGTACCGTTCGGTGGATACAAAATGTCTGGGTTTGGCAGGGAGCTTGGCAAGTACGCTCTACAAGCTTATACGGAAGTGAAATCGGTAAGCCGCCTTGTCCTGCCTCATACCTTCGTTCCTCACTGTTGAACACGGTCCTTGTTTAGGTTGTTATCAAGACGCCAGAATTTTAACTCCTTTCATATGTTCCATTTTTGTTTTGTTTTATTTTGCAAAAGGATTCACTTTTCAACCGTTCCACTTTCCGCTGTGCACTTCAACTTCTTTTGCTC